GCCCAACAATTACTTACATCCAAATCATATCATTTCAGAGTTATCACATATCAATACCATACCACTATACCGTTTATTATCAACATTCAGTTAGCTTAGCTGATAACTTGCTCAAGTAGTCGACTGACGTACGTACATAACGTTGATAACATTGGCTAGACCACCTCTCCATGGCTTTTATCTCCCAGTCTTTCAGACCAACGTTACCACCTGAAGTTGCTCCGCCAATTATAAACGAATGGCCCGAGTACTTACTCGAGTCATAACCTAACATAGCCATGGATATTTTCACGTGATCTATGAAACAAGATCTGTTTAATGAACACCCATTAGTGAGCACAAACAAAGATTCATTATTATCACTTCTATGTTAAAAGTATTTTTCTGTCAAACAAACTGCGCAAAGCTGTTTTTTGTGTACATCCTATCACTACATCTGAACCTTTACCTATTGAATCAGTTTTTGAGATACTCAGTTTAACTATCATATTATGTTTGTCAACTTTAGCTTCTGCCTTTATTATTGTAACATCACTGTTTTTGAGGGTCTGTTTTGAGTTCTGAACAACGAAGTAAGCCGAAGAATGCTATCGACATGGCTGAGCAGAACATTAATTGATCCACGTTGACAAAATTGTGAGCTTGTACCACTTTACATAAAATATCTGCTGTTATAGCTGACTTTTGATTGGTATTATCCTGTTCCATCAATACTGCCTTTAATGCACGTTTGATTCTAAAAGAGTGATTAATGTTCAGGTCAAAACCATGTTCCATGTGAAGGGAACGCACAGCGTATAAGTAGTTAAGAATTGTACCATGTCGTAAACCTTTTTCGTAGCAAAACGTAACAAAAAGTAGTAGTGTTTCATCTTTAGTTGGGAGGTAATTTAAACCAAACTTATTGCAAAATTCCATAAACGCTTTTTAGCCTGACGAGTATGTCTTAACTGTGTTTGGACGTAAACCCTTCCTAACCAGTATTTCTGACTTAATGGTCAATTCTTCCAAAGAACCTATTAAAATAAAGAAAATGATGTACACATTATGATAATAGATTGATGGGTTTTAATAAATACATAGTTGCGGCATATATACTGTTTAATTATTATGATCACTTCTACTTGTAAGGTTACCTCGTAAATCACATTTTAAGAAATACACTATGATGATGTATATCAAAACATGAGTTTCCAAGAGTTGTACTTCATAATTATCAAATTCCTTGACCACTATATGTGCCATTTGGACAAGATAAATTGATATTTTTGAGAAATAGACCACAGTATCCATTCAATGGATGGCATCTTTTTTTACCATTAAATCTCATCCTCTAAACACAGGGCTATGCGAAAGGAGATATTCTGAATCTTGGAGCCCTGCAGTTGGAGGATATTGAATCTATATCTATTCAATTTTAGATTCTACAGGGTGTTAAAAAAAAACGCAACCCAAAGAAATCGCGATATCTTGGAAAGTACTCATCCAATTATGTTCATATTTTCAGGAAAGAAAGAAGAGACTGTGTATGTATAGGCCCTGTTGTTAGTTAGTTGTAAAACATGATGTCTTGGACACTTGCTCAAAAGACAGTTGTACTAGCAAAATACGAAAAACGCGAATGGAAAATAACTTTATTTTGGAAAATATTAATTCAATTATGTTTATTTTTTCAGGAAATGAAAGAAGAGACTGTGTATGTATAACTCCTATTGTCAGTAAGTTGGAAAACATGATGCCTTGGACACCTGATCAAAAGACAGTTGTACTAGGAAAATATGAAAATGCAGCCAGAAGTGACTGCCACAGCAATAAAACCAAATAACTTTCTAACCATGGTTTTTTGGCACTTCAGATTTGGCACAAATTATCCTCATTCAATGTGTAGTGAATTTGTGGAGTTTCATCAAAATCACTTTAGGGACTTTATAGTCATGGTCAAAATGCCTTCTTAAGTCTCCCTGAACCAGGGCGTTTGACTGCGATTTGAAAGCATTTCAACCATGACAGTGAAGTCCCTGAAGTGATTTTGATTTCACTCTAGAGATTTATCATACAGTGAATGAAGATGGTTTGTGCCAAATTTGAAGAGCCAAAACACTATGGTTAGGAAGTTATTTTAATTTTTTTGCAGTTGCAGTCACCCCTGACTGCATTTTTTGCATTTTGCTAGTACAACTGTCTTTTGAGCAGGTGTCCAAGGCATCATGTTTTACAACTAACCATTGACAGGAGCTATACATACACAGTCTCTTCTTCATTTCCTGAAAATATGAACATAATTGAACCAGTATTTTTCAAGATATAGCAATTTCTTTGGGTTGCGTTTTTTTTGAACACCCTGTATATGCTCTACAGTGTTTTCTTATCATAGGTGATCACCTAGTGGTGTGTCTCATATTATGTGTCTAGGTATAGATAAATTGGTTAAGAAAAACGTTTTCCCAAAATTTTCTCACTTTTTGAGCTAAGCTCTCATGTCAGTTTTCAACAGGTTCCTTGAAATGTTAGAACAATGTATTTTTCTAGCAACTAAAAATGATTGGATATTTTGTAATTAGTCCAAGATGTAATAGTAAATTTTATATAAGAAAATATCTCTGACAGAAATGTTGGGGAATTTTGTACCAAAGTTGCAAAGTATGAAGTCATATTTGGAATAGTAAAGGACACATTAGTCAGAAAGCTGTAGATGTTTCTTTCATATTTTTACTGCTTTATATCTTTGATTCTAGTTTTAAGCACAGCTCATACAACATCTGATGACTGTCTGCATAGCAACCAACCATTTATTGATAAGTTACAGGGTGACCCCAAAAATGCAAACCTCTAATGTGCGAATAACTCTCCTAATTATGATGGAATCTTCCTGAATTGTCTTATTTAGTGTTAATTGAACAAAAAGTTAGTATGTACTTGAGATTTAGAGGTTCCTTTTTTGGGGTCATCCTTTACTTGTACGTATATTTATGTCTTTTCTTTATACATGTACATGTAGTTAGAAAAAACAAGTTATATTTTATAAAAAAGATGACTATTAGTGATTTTATTGAGATGAACAATCAATGTGTATATAATATATATTAATGTTATTTTAATTCAGAATAATGCAATGTGGAAAATAAATCATGTTTTTAAAACAAAAAATATATGAACATTTATATAAAACATACTTCTGTTGAATATTTTGATTTTGGAATGTAACAATCAAATCTACAAGATATTAAAATACAAGAAATAATTAGTAATATTATCCCATTGAACAAAGTTCGGAGGGATATAGGGAATGCCTCCGTCCAGGCAATAACTCAAATAACGTTGGCCCGATTTTGTTCATATTTTGTACACATACAGGGCGTTCATAAAGTTCTTGCAAAAGTACTCTAAAATTGTTGTATCTCAGTCAATCTGGCTGAAATTTTCACTCAGTATACCTACACTATTCATACATTGAGATCCCAAGTTATAATTAATAAGTCTTTGAGGAAAAAAAGTTATGGTTGTTATAGTTACATGAGTCAGGGGTAGGCGGAGCAGGCAAAAAAGGATCTGTTTTGTTTGGATGTTCAAAATGTTTTTACTTGTCCTATTTACTTTAATTACAGTATCTCAAGAGTAAAGGTGTTCAAAATAGAGTCCATCGTGTTCTATACGCCTCTTCTGTCTTACTTACCATTCCTCAAATATATTGGGGAACCCTTTTGGAAAATCTATTGCGGTTGATCTTTGTATGGATGGCTTTATCAACGTCATCTGATCCTCACTGGATTTTGTTCTTGGACTGCCTGATCTAGCATTGTCCTTACCATTTTGTTCTACCATCAGTATAAATGTCTTAGTCCGTTTTGTAAATGGTTCTTTTGGCCATGGCCTACTTCCAAAACACATTATGAATATCATCAAGTGTATGTTTTCTTGAATTTCACAGTAAAACATTCATCCCAATGCTACAGATTATTTGTAATTGCAAATCATCATCTTTTGCTGATTTTGCAGCCATTTCCACAAAAAATAAAATTGACGCTGCCTTTCACAAAGTCTGATGTCATCGACCAATATAGGTCACTATGATACCATGCGTGATGTCATGTATCAACGAAATTTCAACTATAATGTCATCATATGACATCTTAGTGTTGACATGGCAACATTGGCTTGTTTTGTATTTTCAAGGATACTTTAAAGTATGTTAAAGTTACCTCTAACCCATATTTTTTTATCTAAATTTTTCTTTTTTTTCAATGCTGCTCCGCCTACCCCCGACTCATGTTACTCTAGCAATCATAACTTTTTTTCTTCAAGGACATATTCATCATCATTCAAGATTCAAATGTATGAATAGTGTAGGTATACTGAGCGAAAATTTCAGCCAGATTGATTGAGAAACAAAAAAATTAGAGTACTTTTGCAAGAACTTTATGAACGCCCTGTATACCCTATGCGGGGTAGAAGTTCTGCTCGAAAGCTGATTTTCAAAAGCTCTTTTAAAAATGGCGCCCATTTTAGTGCCGATTTTACACTAATTTAGGTACAATATGTATAGGACATTAATAAAGCTAGAAATGTAGATACTAAAGAAGCAAATGGCAGCCATCTTGAAAAATGGTGGCCTTCACTCGTTATTTTACGATTTTTGCTGCAACTTGAAAAGTAGTGGAGTGATATTGTTCATATTTGGTATGTGAATACTATAAGCATGGCACACTGTCTAATGACACTTTTGGTAGTATTTTAAAGTATTTTACTATAACTCGAAAAGTAGTGGAGCGATTTTGTTCATATTTGGTATGTAAATACTATAAGCATGGCACACTGTCTAATGACAATTTTGGTAGAAGGTGGCCATTTTGAAATTTTGGGATTTGCTACGCTTTGGCGGTGCTGTTGTCTAGTTATAAATATTATTCACTGTCGTATTGATTTTAGGGTCTAGTCTCATCTCAAGAATGCTTTTTAGCTTCTCAATAGACATTTCACCTTCTAAAAAAGTTTATGGTGAATTAATCCACAGGGCACACTCTTAGACTGAGGCTAGGGTCAGGTCTCATTGTTATTCTCTGCTTTCTTTTGTATGTATATACAGGGTCTAAGGCTAATTGAAACTCTCTAACAACCATGGCTAGGATAAGTTTCATTTGAGCCATAGCAAATTTATGTCCAATACACATCCTGGGTCCCAGCAGAAAGGGGAGGAAATTGTATGGATTAGTGTCATTGGTTTCATTCATGAATCTGTCAGGGTTGAACTTGAGAGGATCATCGAATGAGTCCTGTTGCCTGGAAACAAGAATAAAAGTCTATATCAATGCACCGAATACTTGATCTGGCTAATACATATTAATGTTTAAACATGTAAGTCTCACTTTAAAGTTAACTTGAGAATATATGCTACAAACCTCATCATAACTCCAGGACAAAGCAAAATAATTGTTCCCGCTGGTATGAAATAGCCACATATGACATCATCATTCAAAGCTTGTCGCAATGTCAGAGGCACTGGAGGAAGTAGTCTATATCAAGGAAGAAATGTAAAATTAATCATTCTGGAATATGCATTGTGAATTCACATCAAAATCAACCAATGTGTACAATTTTACTTCTATATTTCTTTAAAACAAAATAAACCATCATGCGAATTTGTTACCTCAGTGTTTCTTTGATAACTGCATGTGTATACTTGAGCTTGTCTAAGTCATCCCAACTGATGAGGGTGCCATCTTTAGGCAGAATTTCTTGAGCTTCTTGGCGGACTTTCTGTTGACATTCTGGATGATTTGCCATCTGTAGGAGAATCCAGGATAGACCTGTGCTGGTTGTCTGGAATGTTTATCAAGTTTGCAGTCATTGTTGACACCAAATGTATCTTAACTTGAAAAGTCATGGCAAGAATGAGAAAGAGAAAAAAGGGCAAAGAAGGAAGTTCTAGTCTATATAAGTGTGACCTTGTCTAAGTTCAAGGTCATTCATTTCAATCATGCTCTTACCTCATGGCCTGCAAGGAGAAATGTCATGACCTGGTCTTTAAGTTCAAGGTCACTCAAGCCTTTTCCAGTCTCCTCATCTCTTGCTAACACCAGCATGTCTAATAGGTCATGTGTCAGCTTTTCTTCTTGAATACAAATTAAGATACCTTTATTAGTTATTTCTAGCTTGTGTCAAAAGTTTGGCAAGTTTCAGCAACAGGCCTCTGGTGACCTACAATTTCTTACTGCATCACTGAATTACTGATTTTTTTAAATGAAAAATATCCTGTGTAAAAAGATGAAATTGAAAAAAGCAGTTTAATAGGGTAAGCCTTGGGAATTTTTGCACTAAAAATATGTCATTTAGCCATTCAGAAAAGCCGATGAAACATATTCTTGAGGGGAGCTTACCTTCCTGTTCCAGTTGAGCCTTCTTCTGGTTGATAACTTTAAACACTGTTTTCTGGACCATAGCAGAGTCTGCATTCATCTTTCTAACATCCTCAAATGGCAACTTGTCCCAGAACGGCAGCATCATCTTCCAGCTGAATTTAAAAATTAATTCCATTAAAACATCCATTCGTCTGGAGAACTATCATACTATATGAATTAATTTTACTGAAGAGTATTCCAGTTTTAACCATAAGCAGACGTTTAACGCCCCCCCTCATAGATTGGGTGAGTTGAGAAAGAGTCATGAAAAATGAGTGTAAGTCCATCTCTTTATCTGAATACTGAACGTCATAGTTACTTTTACTATGGTTTGAAGCCTTTATTATTAATCTGATAGCCAAACTATATACCTATGTAGGTGCCACGACCACAAATATGTAAAAATGTTATTATGTTTTAATGAAATAAATAAAAAATAAATAAATAAAAAAAAACTACAATTCTAATAATTGGGAGCCAAAATGTATCAACTTGAAAAAATTTTACACTTAAAAAAATCCTATTGCCAATCCAGTATATATTCACCTTAGGCCTCCCCCAGATATCATTCTCTGGAATGAGTGTGTTGTTCCACTTTCATCATCTGTCTTCTTTAGAGATGATTCTAGTGCATTGAACTTGTAGCCAAAGGCACACTGGCCTATAGCATCTAATGACTACAAAATAAATTTGCAACATAAGCAATATTAGAATATTATGAGTATTATGTAAATGTGTAATAACTTGAAAAAATACTCAATAGTGATGTTAAATGTCTTTTTTGGATAGAATCAGAGTGTTCATGATGGGAAAAATACTAATACCAATGTGTCATAGCCCTGTGAGATCAATACAAGTGGGGGCCCGAACCGAGGGCCACCCGACCCACCCCTAAAAGCCAAAATACCTTGTGCCCACCAATAAACATGTGTAATTTAAAAAATACAAACATATCAAGTCCCTTTAAATCATATCAAATGTGACATTACCATTGATAAGAGATCAGAGCCAACCTCCATGTCCGCATAATTATTGTCACCATGAAGTTTCTCGTAGCGGGAGTGCCAAAGTTCTGTCAGCTGCTTTCCACATGATTCAAACACAGGAAGCATTTCTAGAAATATGCACAGTAAAAGTGATAAATATGACGCTTTTTAAGAAAATGTTTAAGAGATCAATTTTCAAGAAAGTAAAGCAATGTCTTAAAGTGACTTTAACCAATTTTAGAAATTCAAATACACATTTGAGTCATCCTAAATTTGATTGCGTAATTAAATAAATATTTGTGTTACGGACTTTACTGAAGACTTAAAAAATATGGAATATAGCTCTCAACCACTCCGTTATTTTACACCTATGGTGTCTCAATTAATTCATACTCACTCTTGATAGACTGCGTATTAAAGGCAGGGTTGATTAACTTTCTCTGTGCTCTGTGTTCCGCACCATCAGATAACACAAGGCCATTCCCTAAAAACTTCTTAATTGCCCTAAACAATTGAATGACACGGTTTAAGTATGTGAAGTAATGCTGATTGATGTCACAGCAGTAAACCATAAGACTATCAACCAATAGATCCTACATGAAGGTTCAATTCCCACATGGGGTATTGCATTTGGCACAACTTAGTTTCTGTCATCTTACCTGTTTCACTACAATAGATAGTAAACTTTATTCATTTTAAAGGCAACTGTAGGTCACTACATAACATTTCAAAGGATTTGGGGCTTTTCTTTCATTTCAAAATGTATTTCTGAGTCAAATTAACCCTGGACACAGAGTTGTTTTTCAGAAATTATTATATGTTAAACAGACAATTAACTTGTAGAGCCTTACTTCATTCTGCCAGGAGGCTTAATGTAATTCTTGCTATTGTTAACCATGATGTGCTTAAGACCGTCAGGGTGAGCCACCATCAATCTTTCTGTCCCAAAGAAAAAGTGATAGCGCACTATAGGACCATACTTCTCCACCCACCTGTTTAAGCATGGAAGAAATTTAAAACTTATGACATTCAGTCTCTTTTCCCAAAATAGGCACTTCAAGAACTATTTCATCCAAAATTATTTTATTCAAATATTCAAGAAACTCACTCTGAACTTGACTCCATGGCCTGCCCTCTCATCACATCTGGCATGTTGCCAATGAAGGGATTCCATGGTAAGCCTGGCACCTGTTCATACAGGGATTCATATTCTATTAATATGGAAATATAAACAGGCCCTTAGCCAGGGAGGAGGGGTTGGGGTTTTTGAAGTAAACCTTAGCAACAGCTGGCTACAGGCCTGAATAAGGTATGGATGTTGGAGATATTGAGATATAGGGTGAAAACCCTGAATGATGAGGGGTAAAAAAACTTAAGGACTATGTACATGCATCGCAAGGTCATAAATTGAATATGCAAGATAGCTGTATGTATATAAAACATTATCCTATGCCCAGTATAGTTTTAGGGAGATAAGTTGGTAAGATATATCCGTATCCTGATTTTGAGGTTTCCATATCCAGAACCTCCATATCTCCCGGCATATCTCCCACTCTAGGGCATATCTTTTTTGAAAAAAAATATATATAAAGATTTTTCTAAAAATGTGAAAAAAAGAAAAAAAATTGAAAAAGAATTTTGAAAAAAAATTGACAAAAATAAATTTTATTTTAGAAAACTCTACTCTACTTGTGAGATATGCCATGTGTCCCTACAGTCCCTAAGGTAGATATGCATATCTCCCTCTAGATAAACCTCATATCAAAAACCTCCCAGTACATGACAACCCTTATATATGTGGAGATATAAAATAGGAATTTATAAGATACTAAGTAGTCTAAGATAGCATTTGCATGTTTTGTTTTGCCATACCTTTCTCAATGGAGACATCAAAGGCTGGATCAGCCAACAGTATGCCACCCATGATGCTAGCAGTATCACACTGTATATTACAATAGAGTACCAGGTAATACTTTCATTAGCACTTGAGTACAACTGTTGTAATTCACTAAATACAGACCCCATCCTTTATCTTACGATGTGTGACACCATTCCTGAAATGGAAGTAGAAATTAAACAAAGTATCTTTTGGGCAGAAAAAAACAAGGAGAGAATGTTCAGCTTGTGGTATGATTACACAATTTATTTATTTACACCCATGACAACACAACGTTGCGTAAGGTCAGTAAATGTTGCAGTTGGTTTTTTACAATACAGTATGCTATAGGTTTCTCTCCCAGACAATTAATGTCTGCCCCCCTCCCCGGATCCATCAGTGCGGATACATCAGATATTACATCAGAAATATATCAGCACTTTTCCAGATGTTGGAAGGGGAACCCCCTTAATATAACAATAGTCTGGAGGTAGGAATTTTGCAATTAAAACGAAAATTTCCTCATTCTGCCGATTAACCCATACAATTAGCGATTCAACTACATAAAACTAAATAACTGAGTACATGTATTATAATTCTTTTTATTCAGTTGAATCTCCAATTGTATGGGTTAATCGGCAGAATGAGGAAATTTAAACTATTGTTAGAGATGTTAAGGGGGTTCCCCTTCCGACATCTTGAAAAATGTTGATATATTTCCGATGTAAAGCGAAAATCTCTTCATTCTGCCGATAAACCCATACAATAGGTGATTCAACCGCATAAAAAGAATCCTAAATTACTTAAGAATGTATCAAGGTAGGTATTTTAAGTGTGCAATGCACAGTATTTTCTCCAACGGTGTAGAACCACTGCCTGAACAATTGTTTGGTATGACTCATCGTAAGTAGGGTCATACAGTAGTATATGATGACCTCTAAAACACCATGCAGTCCATAGGCCCCGGGAACATGTATGGCCTATGATGCAGACATACATGTTGTACCTTATCCCGTTCCCGGACTATGGTCCTGCACTGATCGCATTCATTTGCCTTTACGATTACAACTTGGGAGAATTATCTACGCCCCTTACACTTAAGATACCTACCTCAATGCATTATAGAACTCAAGATGTAACTTCTAATATATTGGAACCGCCGATTGTCTGGGTATATCGGTAGAACGAGAACATTTTCTCTTTTTCATTGAGAGAGATTCCATCACTTTTCAAAATGGCGGTTGGATTTAAACGGGGAATCCCCCGTTTGGCTGTCCCGGATGTAGCCCGGAAGTACCAATATGGAGGAATTTGACGGTTGAAAAAGGTTAAATGTTACACGCAAATATTGCGATCAAAAACGAAAATGTCTTCGTTCTGCCGATAAACCCAGACAATTGTGGATTCAACTACACGAAAAGAATGCTAAATTACCAAGGAATCTATTGAAGTAGGTATCTGAAGTGTAAGATCAGTAAAAAATTCTCCCATGTTGTAATCGTACAGGCAAATGTATGGGCTCCGTACAGGACTATAGTCCGGGAACGGGATAAGTTGTACCCAATTGGACAAAATTACATTCATTTACAATCGCAGATGGAAACTTCTAGTGGTGAAATAATGAAGCAAATGTAACTGCCATACCTCAAAATGTGTGCTTTTGTTAACTTACTTGTTATAATACAATATACATGTACCTTTGAATTTGATTCTTCAACTCATTCAAAGTCTAAAAACTAAAATATGAATCTACGTAGAGTCCATTTCACTGCTTCTAGTTTGGCTTATAAAGTGTGTGGCCTCTTATACAGTTGGGGACATAAATAAATGACAGGTGGATTTGCTGAAGTGAGGATTTCCCATGTTAAAAATAAGAGAATTTACAAGAGGCCATAAATCAGTGGATGCGATTATACAAAATGTAAAATATACAAATTTTAAGGGATATGTATCTAGACAATATTGGAAATTATGGGCTTTCAGACCACCATAATTAGGAAATGGTGATCGAAAATCGACCTGTCATTTATTTTTGTCCCCAACTGTATTTGGATGTTTCTCTGCCATGTTATTTTCAATAAGATTAACATGGCTGAAATTCTTCAAATTACAAGACGGCACAGGCTTATTGCACAAAAAACCAAAAGATCTGAAATATACAAATGTCATTCATGTACATTATGAATATACTTTTCCATATATTATTGAACAATGGTCTCCCAATTTCTTATTTTTGCCGTTCTACTGACGAAATGAAGCAGTGAAATGGACTCTAAGGTTGGGGACATAAATAAATGACAGGTGGATTTGCTGAAGTGAGGATTTCCCATGTTAAAAATAAGAGAATTTACAAGAGGCCATAAATCAGTGGATGAGATTATACAAAATGTAAAATATACAAATTTTAAGGGATATGTATCTAGACAATATTGGAAATTATGGGCTTTCAGACCACCATAATTAGGAAATGGTGATCGAAAATCGACCTGTCATTTATTTTTGTCCCCAACTGTAGAGTCAATACGTCCAAATCCAAACAGGGGGGTAAACACGAACGGGTTCCAAATAATGGCAAGCAGATCATTGAATTGAATAATAGTACCTCTACTACCTCTACATAATATTTATAGCCTGAAAGATACAATATAATGATGTATACCAACAATCTTACAATAAAATAATCAATTATGATGATTTAGGTGTCCGGAATTACCCCCATGCTAGTGTTTGGAATTACCCCCACAAACTCTGTGCGTTTAAATAAATAGATGTGAGTAATAAATGATTTAAATTTGGGTTTCTTGATATGCAGGGGTGACAGGATCCAGTATCATAAGTTAAGGGTATCATATAATCAAGGAGGATTGGCTCCCAGAATCGAAGTCGATATTTTCCAACAATGAAAACGCCGAAATGTCGTTATTTTCTGAAATTATAACCGATTATAAATTCAAAATAAACAGTTCAAAATATTCGAACCAATATCTCGATCATTTCTTGTGAGTTTTGGAATTTTTCGTTGGGAATTAAGACCAAAATTCACAATTCAAATGTTGAAGTGAACAAAATGGCGGTCGTTGGAATTCAAATTTTGTAGTACGACATGCCCATATATGGGGCAGAATATCGATGTTGCACTCTGGGAGCCAATCCTCCTTGCATATAATGATATACCATCAATCTAATAATTAAAAAAATTAAGTTTAAGTTGAGTGTTTGGAATTACCCCCATGCAAGTGTTCGGATTTACCCCCCAAAAAACCTCCTGTTCGGAATTACCCCTAGACTATATCCTATTTAGTCTGAATTATATTCAGACTATAAGGCATCTAAGGACATATTGTTCGGTAAATTCCGCTATTTGTGCAATAGCAAAAACGTTATGGAATATATGTAAAAGTTAAAGAAGAACATAATTTAAATTCAACTTAGATATATTTTGCTACTGAAACATATAGGGAAAGAGCTGTGTCTTTAAAACTGCGTTTCCAAATATCTTCCGGACAATTCCGAATGATCAAAATGGCGGCGCCCATGAAAATGTGGAAGTCAGGTAATTTTGTTAATTTTTCACAAAAATCATCTAAATCGGTCCATAAATAGTATATTATTACATGTTATGTGATTAAGATATTCATCATACATATTTTACTAGAAGTTGGATTAAATTTGATGTTGTGAATGAATTTATTTAATTATTGGTATAAAGGTATAAAAGTAAAATGGTGCTAAGCTTGAAAATTTGGGAAGAAGCGGTATGTATATATACCTAAAAAGTAGAAATCAAAAGATCATTGTGCAATAATATATTGAAATATATATTCCTACTGTACATAAATTACATTTATATATCTTGGATTGCTTCTACAGTTGGGGACATAAATAAATGACAGGTGGATTTGCTGAAGTGAGGATTTCCCATGTTAAAAATAAGAGAATTTACAAGAGGCCATACATCAGTGGATGAGATTATACAAAATGTAAAATATACAAATTTTAAGGGATATGTATCTAGACAATATTGGAAATTATGGGCTTTCAGACCACCATAATTAGGAAATGGTGATCGAAAATCGACCTGTCATTTATTTTTGTCCCCAACTGTAGTTTGGCTAATAAAGTATGTGGCCTCTTATATTTTGATGCTTCTCTGCCTTAGTATTTTCAAAAGATTACATGGCTGAAATTCTTTAATTACAAGAGTTGAGTTGATGACATTTTGCGGATTGCACAAGTTGAATTTTTTTCCGATTACCATGAATCAATGCGTATCTGGCTATTTTAGCCCGTTCAGAATCCGAATAATGTTTGTATTTCCCATGCTTAGGGCATTTATTTGAATATTCTTGAATGGCTTTTTCAACTTCAATTTGTAGGATATCATTGTCGTCAACAGTTCTTGCCTTTGTTGGCCTAATAAGCCAATTCAAAATGTTAGACATTTTAGGCCTTTTTGAATTATCGCCCAACAACACTGGGTGAAACGTTTTACACCAAACAAAACATATCAAAAGTCCCGGGTCAAATCCCCGGGGATTTAAAAGGCAAATTTCGCGAGGATAAATGCTCGCAATATTACTACATTCGCGAACAAAGCGAAATTAAATCGCACGCGAACAATACCTGGAGTACAGTATATAGTTTAACAGTGGTAGAATTTGAATAGAATACAATTTAAACCTTAATGGTTGAATAACATTTAAAAAATAGATCTATGGTTTACAACTCATTTTGAAATTTAAAGGAAACTCCCTGGTTGACCCATATGCCCCTCCCCCCTAGGAAGTGACTTCATTATTGGGCCTTCTAAGGCCTTATTTTTTTAATTTCAGACCAAATTTTGAAGAAAATGGGCCTCAAATTTTCAAAATTTGGGCCCAATTTTCGGTTTTAGGGGCCCAGGAGCTTTTCTCTCTGCCCTCAGATTTGGGCCCCCCCCCCCTGTTGGTTCCTGGATCCGCCACTGTACCCCATCAAATGTTAGGTTAATCAAACCACACCACCTTCGCAACTACATGTACTTGTGTACATTGAAATCTCAGGACGATTGAAAATAAGATTTATAGTGGTTATTTAGATAAAATTCAGAATTAATAGCAGTGCTTTGAGAATAATGAACATTCTTTCCTTTATTTTTACAGTCAAAATTAGGTGAACACAAAATTAACTCGACAAAATAATGGCGGGACAGAATTTTTTTTGGCCAGAGTGTTTTTAATGTCTCTGGACAAATTTGGCTACTGAGCGAAAAAATCCTTATTTGCCAGACTGAAGTCCCTTTGTTGAAATACCCTGGAACGACTGTCAGGCTACCCCGTTGACATTGCCCCTCTTTACCAGTAGTGCAGGCTTGTTGCTGTGCACTGGGACCATAGAACTATTGCTAAAATACAACTAAGCTTAATTGTTAAGCTGTTTGCTGACAGAAGATTTAAAAGTAAATAAGCTATCATTGTCTAAAATATCACCAGGCAGAGTGTTCCATTTTACTATTGTCCTTGGAAAGTAGCTAAACTTGTATTCATCTGTTCTGGCAGGTGGTTGGATGAATTTGGATGGATGGAACTGTCTGGTGTTTGTGTTGTTTTTTTTTAGGGCTGAAGTATGTGGGTATAGAGGTGGCTGCTAAGTTCCTTTGTAGAAAAGGGAAAGTCT